TTGCCTGATTTCTTATAGGACCATTTCCTTATATTTTGTTGTAATTAAAAAAATGTAAGCCATAGATCCTTAAAATGTTTACTAAATGTTTACATTATCGGTTTCTATTCATTATACAATTTTCAAAATATTTTTTTTTTATAAATAATAAATGCATAATATAATATGTCAATAACATTTTTTCGTTGGGTCAGAAGGCTTTAAAATGTAATAAAAGTTCTTCATAAGTTGTTATAATTATAGTAGTTAAAAGTAAAATGTAAATAAAAATTATTCAATAGCAATAAGGTAATAACTAATAAATATTGATAAATGCCATGCCATCTAGTGGTATATTAACTAGGTACGGTGGTCAGCAACGCTAACCACCAATATTAAGAAAAAATAAATAAATAGCAGCAATATAAATAATAAAGCAGTGAAAAGGTTTAGTGGTGCTGGTAAAAATTCTATTGTATTGTAGGTGCCGCCGTGCTATAGGTAATTCAGTAATTGTGTCCGGATACATATTTTTTCAGCTACAGTCGCAGTAATATTAATAATATTGTTAGCATTATACTACTGACGTTGCTGACGATTGTTTTTGTTATCAATTTGGTTTCCTATGATCGTTTGTTGTTTTTTGTTATGTGTGTGTGTTGGCGAGGGGGGGCATCGGACGTAGGGCCACACTGAAAGTTGTCAGAAATTAATCTGTATATTAATTATTGACCGTATTTAATTTTCTAATTAGGTAATAATAAATAATAAGTAAAATTAACCGATGTCCGATTGCATATAAAATATTATATTCATAAGTGAAATAGGTAATTGAGAAGAAATAAGACCAGTAACCTATGAGTGGGTGGTTATAAATTATAGTACCTACTTACTGCTTGAGTTAAAATCATAGACATATTAATAAACATATTATTAATATGTCTATGGTAAAAATGCTTTGTAAGTATTGTAAGATTGACAGTACCTACTTATTCTGCACTACATAATATTATTCAACTGTATCGTCTGCATACAATGTCAGCTGACTCCCAGACTCTATCCATTTATTTATTTCAGCGGGTCGCGCCCGCTGTACAAAACAGTAATATTATTGTAACACAATCAACACGGTAACACAGTATTAATAGTATTATGATAATAGAATGAAAAAAAAAATGAAGTATTGAGTAGACATCTTTAAACAATCCTATAATAGTTCAAATGTGTATCATACTTTTCAGAAAATCTAATATAGTAGAACGAACGTGGAACGTGGAACTACCATAATCTGAGCATTTTCAGGGCCCACGTGACATTCCACACTCCTGCCCGCTGGTGGCTACCACTGCGGCAGGTCACACGATGACAGGGTGTCGCGTGGGGATGCACAGTAAACATGGGTGTGCTTGTGGTCGGGGGGGGGGGGTTCCAATATAACAATATAATATGTACTTCCATATAAATATAATAATTTATTGGGAACAAATCTAGTTTAGCACCCACACTAATTTTGAAATTTTTTTTCGGAAACCTGCCTATGTATTACAACGAGTTAATAAGAATGATGCTGCAAAAATTAACTATAATATATACGGGGTGTCCCGTGAGGATTTACTCATTGCGATATCTCCTGAAATAATAGAGATATCGTAATTCTGTTTTCTTATTAAGACTCACAGAGGTAAGCACTACAAATAACTAATTTTTTATTTTTTTTTTATGTTTTGGTAAAAAAGTTAAAAAAATTATTTTTTTAATTAATTATTTAAAAAAATATTGAAGATTGCCATTTTGTAGAGTTCATTTTTCTGAAAATATTGACGTTTCAACATTTTAATTTCATTAATTTCCTGATTTTTAATAATTTTTTTAATTAAAACGGCAAAAAACCGGTTTTTGTCCGGGCGGCGAGTCCCCCTCTACGGCTAATAGGTAAATCCTCACGGGACACTCTGTATATATAATAAATTTAATTGAAAATCATTAGTTTTTAAGTTGTATAGCCTTACAAAGTTCACGATTTCCGGTGTTTTAACTTTTTAAGCATCAATTCAACTCAATATTTTACCTCTCGTTCGGAACTTTTCTGTTTTACTAAACAACCTTTTTTTTCAATTTAATTTTGTTTTAACGTACTTATGTAGTTAGGCATGCTGAAAACGATGGGGAAGTCTGAATTTGGTAGCCAGGTATTTTAAAGTTATACTTAATTCAAATTTTTTAAATTTTCATATACACCCTGATGAGTGATCACTCGCTCACTCGAACAATTAAAATCGAAAACATCCCTTGACTTGTTATGTAAGATCATCATAAGTGGATGTTAGAATTATTTTTCCACCATAATTTTTAAAACGTTGATTTACCTAGGTTTAAAAAAAAAAAATTGAAAATTCGTTAGCACAAAAGACAAAACACCGCCGAAAATCGTGAACTTCGTAAGACTATACCATATTTCCGGCAATTCATTTTTGCATCATCGTTCTTAACTGGTTGTCATAAAAATTAAAAGGTACATAGGAGTGCCAAAAAAAAAAAAATTAAAAAATTCGAGTGGCAGCAAACTAGATTTATAACGTCAAACTTAACAAATATTTTGTTTGAAAACAATTTTCAACTGACCCCCCCCCCCAATCAATAATTCCTGAGCACACTTTTGGCAGAAAACCTATGCATATTCTCTCACTGGAAAGAGTATAATATATTATAGTCGCATGCACTTGTCAATATGTCAATCTTAATATCATAATATAGGTATACGAGAGAATATAACTAAAGTGTTCAATTCGTGTTGATATAGGTACGTTGAAGTAAAGATTGAAAATTGAAATCTATCTATAATCGTGGTTGAAATCAGTAGCGTAGGCAGGATTTGAGTTCGGTTAGAGTTTTATTAGAGTAAATAATTTACATTATTTTCTTCTAAACAGTTTTTATATAACAAATTATAGTTAGTCTCATATTTAGTCTACAACAGTATTTAACGTGATCATATCTTTAGGTATAGCACCTCTTCGGGAAGTAATAAATATGGTAATAATCGATGAACGATGATACATCATCGATTATGGCAGACGTTTAGCAATGTTCTAAATCAGCCAAAAATGTCGATCCCTTCGTACGCCACTGCAGGTTGAAATGAATAAAAATTTGCAGCCAAACGTCTATGAATCGCTTACAATGTTTATAAAATCATATAATATTGTGTAGCCATTTTATACGGTACCACGAAAATGATTATGCTTAAATTTTTTAGAAGCTTTTGAATTTAATTTTTAATGCAATTGGATTTATTAAAATAATTAATTGTATAATAACGACTGTAAATATTTTGTTATTATGGAAATAATGTATTCAAATTTGTATAGTTTTTTCTATAAATTATAACTGTTGGTTAACAAATGTCTGCTAGGATTGCAAGGTTAAAAAGTTGGAAAATGTAAAATACCTATGATTTTTTTACAAATAATAATTATGACAATTTTAAAATATTGGAAATAGGTACATCATACATCGACGGAATTTTAATTATAAACGCTTTACAAAATTCATCAAATTTGGAAATTATTTTGTAGTTATAAATTAAAAAATTCCAGATTTTAATTGAAACAAAATAAACAAATTTTTATAGTACTATCTGTGTTTAATCATAGCTGATTAGACTTTTATCATCGAGTATTATACTTCAATGCTATTATTGTATTAATTATTATCATAGGGTTGAATAGCGTTTGGGATTTGGGGAGGGGCTAAAGTCCTTCTTTGAAAATATTTAATAGGCTTAAAACAAAATGTAGGCAATGTGGGAGGGTTAGCCCCTAAGCCACCCCCACTGTTTGAGCATATGATTATTATATTATTCTTACATCAATAGTGGGTAATCATGAGTACGAATATAATTTGAAGCCGCTAGACTGCGTGACGCATGATTTGAGCTTGACACTTATTTACTGAAAATGTCACATGTATACAGCTGCAGGCTGCAGTAGCACACTAGCGACTATATAGCACGTAGTACTCCGTAGTATGCAGCACGTATTGTGTCCCATACTCCCATGAATAATAATTATTTCGTCACGCGGCGTCCAGTCCTATAATTAGGACATGTTGTTCGCGGTTCTCGACTATCGGACGAAAAACGATGTTTTGCGGCGCCTATCAACGGATTAACGATAACGATAATAATTAAAAATGATACCATTTTTTCGACGATAACGAAAATATAACACTGTCAGCCGTCGGTGAGGGGGAAATAATAATAATATAATTAAAATATTACAAAAATAATATAATAACACAGTACAGAAGAACATTATAATGATATATTGTGCCATTGCGGTCGTTTAGAGTCGTGGCGGCAGCTCTCAAGATTCGGAACCTCCTTGGCGGCAATAATATGTAAACGCCGCTTACAGTATCCTTGCACCAGTCGCGCGCGCGGTTCTTTGTTGTCAGCAGCGGCATTCGCGCTCGGCATTAGGGTTGGCGGTGACGGGGGGCCCCCGTCGACGTCGACTCGGGATAACGCGGTCCGCAGTGCTGCCAACGTGGAACGGTTCGCGCGTCGACGCCACGGTGTCGGGGGTCGCGGTGTCTGGCCGTCCGATGGAGCGGGGGTGATGGGAATGTGGCGGTCGGGCCCGACCGACAATGATAGCCAAGCCCCCCAGCCCCGCCGCCGCCGCAGTCAGAGCAGGACCGCCATTTGCGTTTACCGAGATTAATAATCGTCCGTGTGTGATAGCGTCATTTCGTGTGTACATCGTTTATCGTACGTATTGCCCGTCGGCCACCCGCCAACGATTGACACTCAGCGTTCCGAATAGTTTTCCGACAAATTTTTTTCGATAGAAAAATACACCTTCCGGGACGACGAAGAGTTTTTATTATGTAGTGACGCGATCGGCCGGGCCAAATACGCGTGCGAGCAGCCAGCACAGTTAGAACCGACGACAAAGAAGTGTAGTCGATCGTTTTCGGGCCGAAAACGATCCGCACATCAGTTCCATCCGCACGCCGAGATGGACAGCAGCACAAACGGCGAGACGACGAAAGAGCCGCCGTCATCTTCTTCTCCAACTCCGCCGCCGCCGCCGCCAGCACAGACGACGTCGACGACAGCAGCGTTGACGACAACGACGATGACGACGACGATGTCCATAACTAGCCTAACGACCACGATCACGACGACGATGACTACGACGAGCCCGACGGATATCTATCAGATGTGCCGTCTGTGCCTGAACACGCTGAAGGCGGACGAAGGCGAATCGGTGTTCAACAACCAGGTGCCCTCGCTGCCGGAGAAAATCTACCGTGTATTCGGGGTAAGGGGACGGGCACTCGCCCAAATCATAATAATCCTTTTCAATATTATTTGTTTATGGCGGGCGGTTGTCTTGTTAACAGGACGGGAAATATTGTTAACAGGCCGAGATAATACGGGAAAACACGAAAATGTGATAATGCGTTCGGCGGCTGCCGATAATGGCGTTGCGCGGTTTTATCATCGCCGCCGCCACTTATTGTTATTATTATTATTTCTCTCCCCTTTATCTCGCTCACTCCGTCTTTATCTATCCACATTTATTTATCTATCTGTCCGTCCGTGCGTACTCCGAGCGGCGTCTTTCGTTAACGCGTATCGCACGGTCTGCGGTGCGCGCGGAAGCCACCCCCCGGGACACCGCTGGCGTACGTCCGGACTCCGGACGATAATAATCGGCCACCGCGCCAAACCCGTCCGCCGTATCTCGGTCGGCCGCTCGTTTCGTAACGGGCGTGCGCGCGCGCGCTGACCGCCGCCCGCGGCCCGCCAACGTTATTGATAATGGCGACCGCTCTTTGATAGGCCATTGTTTGGCAGCGCGCAATCAAGCGCGTGCCTGCGCGTACGTGCGTACGCGTGTGATTGCGTTGTCACCGCCACCACCGGCTACCACACACGATAATTATCATTACCGCCGCCGTCGTGTGGCCGTGGTTTCTGTTTTTGTTGTTATGTCATGAGAATTAATGTATAATAATAATATGATATCGAAATGATTGTGACAATATCACAGCGATGATAATAACAATTTTTGCTGAAAACCCGGGAATATTAATTAATATTAAAATATTATATAATTAACCATATCATTAATAATCGTTTTCCCGTAGGTATTCCCTATTATTCTAGAGAGAAATCGTTATTATCATCGGACAATATTGTCGTAATGATATTATAATATTAAAATAATGTGTATATTGACATTTTGGCTCTCCGTGTCGTTTTTATCATTGGCACACACATGTTTTCGTACCACGTAAGCGCGCTCGCGCGTGCGTGTGCGTTATTTTTATTTGATATATATTTTTATTTTCGTCCTTCCCTCGTCGCTTGTCCCCGCACATTTCTCCCCCCCACGCCCCTCCATTCGGCGCAAACAGGTTTTATTTATAGCCGCCCCGGTATCAGCTCTCGTGCTTCCTCAGTCGGCGGCTGTGCCCCTGGTTTTTTTTTCCTATCATCGCGCCGCCCGCGTTCGGGTCGTTTTATACATCACTCCTCCGTCCATTCTTTGCTCGACCTTATTGTTCGCCATCGTCGTCCTCTTCCTCGCGGCACCCGAGATTCTGGGTCCGATTTTCGAAAATATCAAAACTCCACCAGACAGTTGTAGTGAGGGAGGAGACACTTTGGGACCTGCCCACTCCCGCGCGTCACGGACGAAGACATACTCGGTTGCACGTCTTCTTAGTAGATCTTGGTCCGTGCCGCACATCGTCGCCGCCGCGGTTGAAAACGTAAATGCGTCGCACATCTGGCGAATGCCCGCGATTATAGACTGCCGGTTTTTATTTTTCGTTGTTGTCGACGTTTCCAATAATATCGTATAATGCTATACAATAACAACACTATAATACGATTGATCAGTAGGCAAACGATATTCTTTTATTTCGCCCTTTATTTATTCAACACATTTCGAACAGTAGTTGTTTTTGAGATATTACGTATAATATATTACGTATTATAGGTACTTTTATCGCGTGCAGTGAAGTTATATTAATATATTGTACCATAATAATAAACTACTGGGTAAAATTTACCTGATAAATAATGACCATTATCAGCAATAGGTATATAGTACTGTTATATAGATATTCTTCATTTACAATAAGAACTGCGAACGGATTTCCTAAGGGTTATATTATATGATTTGTGTAAAGTAACACCAAATTGCATGCATTATTGGCATGTACGCGCGCTATTAATTTTGACACTAGGTATATTCGAAAACTCATATTAATTTATAATATTTTTTTCTTATTTATTGTAATTAATAGTAAGTTTTTAATTTATTATATAAGACCTACTATTAAATGATATAAATGAAGTACTTAATTAAATGTTATTTCTAAATTAAACAAAATTCAAGATATATTAATTTTATAATTATATAATAGTTAATCTGATAAGTATTAGAACACCTATTTATATGTTATCTATTGTTTGTTTTTATTAACAAATAGTTTTACCTATCTTCATGGTTAAATCTTAATAGTTCCTAATAATTTAGCATAACAATTCACTTAAGAATAGCTGTACCTACCTATCTAATAGTTAATATTGATGGATACTGGCTAACTATTTGAAAATTCAAAGTCTATGCTTATAAGACTCAAGGGATGTATTAATATATAATTGTAGATTATAAGTTATTTATAACATAGGCCCATAGAAAAAAATAATAAAACAATTAATGTGTTTTAGGTACAAATTACCGATGCTAAAGATTTGCCAAATAAACTTTGCTCAAAATGTGTGCAAAATACTGAACAGTGTTACAGCCATAGAGAAACATACAAGCGTCAGGAACGTGTTTTGTTCGACATGATTAAAAAGCCAGCAAATGTAAGAACATTTTTCAAATTTTAAAATGAATAGATTTATAAATATATTTTATTCTAAATACAAATAGGAGGAACCTAAGAATTCACCAAATTCTGAATATGTGTACAGTCCTGCGGATTCAAATCACTCTTCGTCATCAGGTGTATCATCTGATCCTCGTTACATTAAGGCCAATAGTTCAGCTAATAACATGAATAATAGTTCTAATTCTCCACCTTATGAAACAAATGCATCTCTAGCTTCTCATGGTAAGTTTTACAAAAAATACACTTGAAATAGTGTGTATATTTAAATATACATAGGTATATAAGTTTATTTCACATTTATTCATATATAGTTGAAGTTATTCAAGGGTGTGATGAAATGGCAGCAGAAGTGACAATAGCTCATGATTCGGAAGAAACCGTTTCAGGGGATGACACTATTTGTACTGACAACAATGCTGAGTATGGAACATACAATGATGACGAAAATATTATTGTAGTTAAAACTGAACCAGACGACGATTATGATGAAGAATAGTAAGTATCATTTCGTACATTTTTTAATATAAATTTATAATTATTTTTTATTATTGACAACCAAACTAATATATTATATTAATAGTTTCAATGGTTTGTATAGCACTAAAAATGACGATGGAAGTGAAAACTATGAACAACAAGAAGGACCAAAAGTCATTGCTAGTGTACAATTCCCAATGGTAAATGGTACAATCGTTAATGGTACCCATAAAATTGGCCAAAAGCAATTTTCTTTGGTTAATTGCATTCCAACATCCTGGGTAAGATTCATTAAATTTTATAAAATTCTAATATATCTTTTATTTTGACGGTGTTTTATTGTTTTCATCAGGCTTCGAGTACGAGCAAAGACCGTCGTAAACAAAGTTGTCCAACTAGAGCATTGGAATTAAGCGGTTTCCGAACACAAGTTGCTGGCGATGATACTAATTCATCAGATGAAGGAAATGTTACAAATTGGACAACTAAAAAAATCCGTGCCAATTCCCCTGCTGTTATAGTGAAGCCTGCTTATGCATGGCCTAATTTACAAGGCAGTGGCCAAACCCTCATATTTCAAACAAAAGTTAGTACTCAAATTTACAACAGTCTAGTACTTATTATAGTACAATATATTTTATTTTTATAGAATCCTGATGGTACAACTTCTGAATTACGTCCTCAAGTTATGCAAGTTGGTGAATGGGCCAACAATCAGGGTCAATCAAATGCTCCTACAGATCCGTCAGATCGCATGGGTATGCTGTTATTTGCTGCTACTCATATTCAAGAACTATCTACTGAGAGTGATGATGGTCAGTCTCCTGGCACACCCAAGGGCGCTACTGTGGTACGTGGTAAATTAGTATCGTCAGAACAAAAGCGCAAGATATATCAGACACAAGCCACAATTAGGCGGTATTCAGATGGTCATCAAGTACAACAGCAAGTTAAAGACATAAATGCTTCACCAAATATACCCAGAAAACGTACTGTAAGTATAATGTCGAGCAATGTTTTATATAATATTTATTTCTTGATCTACTTATTATAATCAATGTTTTCATTCAGGCTAGGGAATCATCGGTTCAGAGAATGTGCAGTAATTGTGGAACTACATGTTCAACAATATGGCGACGACTAAATGAAGACCCAGTATGCAATGCCTGTGGATTATACTATAAACTACATGGAAAAATTAGACCACCCACCATGAGACGTGACACCATACATACTAGACAACGTAGAAAACGATCAGACAACGGTTAGCATTCTCGCCTATATTAATAAACTAGAAAAAAATCAAATATATTTCCTTCTTTATTTAAAAACCTAATATATTTCTGTTTTTAAAAAAAATTTCGGACGTCTCCTTTCTGTCTTAAACTAACACCCTCTTCTAGTAACTTTTATTATTCACGTTGTGTAGTAAAACTATAGCTAAGTGCCAAATAATTGTATTTTTTTTTTTTTTTTTTTTTTTTTTTTTGGTACACTAATATATTTATGCAACCGCAGCACATTAAAAACTAAAATTAAGCGGTGGTCAGGACAATTATACAAGATTTTACGCTTGCTTCAGGTAAGAATGCCAATGCGGTAAAAGTTGATGACACTAAGTCAAATTTCTTGTTAAATATTATTTTATTATATTAAAAACAGCTTGTAATATGCTTAGATTTATTATATTTTTTTTTCAAATTAGTTTATTGTTTATATTTAAAAACTCACCATAATTACTAACTTATCACAAAAAGTTTCATATTAAACGCATTATTTTTGTTAGCATGACCATAATACTTTTGTAATTAATAATAACATGTTAAAATTCAATTGTGTAAAAATCAAATATGTTTAAAAATATTAAGTATTTATAATTTTTATAATATTAAGTATTTTTAAAGAAAACTAGTTGTCAAAAATTAGAAATATTGGGTATATTAAAAATGAGATTTAGTTTATTAAACAAAAACTTTAAATCAACTTTATAGGAAAATAGTATAACATTTAAAATGTTTTATATTATGCTTACATCTTTGATATATTGTTTATTATTTATTATAGTACATAATAATAATTTAAATATTTAATTAAATGATACAGGATAATAATTTTAATTACATTTTTCATTATAAAAATTAATTTATTCTAAATCTTTTTGTAACTAGTAAAATTTTAAACTTAGATATGTGATTAGAGTATTAAATGTATGTTTAAAAAATCCTGTTCTTCATGATTATATTGAATTGGACCATATTGATACTTTTTAATTCATGTTTTGTGATAATTCAAATTTCATTCCAACTATAAGCATTTTCTGGTGGATAGTTATAAATGTTTGCTTTTTTCTTTCTAATATTAGCTAGTGGGTGGTGGTTTTTATTATGTTATTATTTGCTTAACTAAGTATTTAGTATCAGGATAAATTAACTTGTTAAGAATGTAGTATCTTAAATTCTTTTTATTCTCATTTGTAATGCTTAGTGGAAATGGGTTCAAAATTGTTAATCATGTACTGGCCTATGAAAAATATTTCATTATTACTATTATTATTATTATAATAAATATTTATTTTACTATTTAATAATGTAAGCCGAAGAAGTATTGGTTGTGAATTTCACATGCCCACTTACAGCTCAATGTGGAGTCGTCCGATTATGCATCAGAACGGTTAAAAATACTTACAGTTTATTCTTGTGTAGGTATGGACATAAGCATGAATAAGAAAAAAATCAAAATTAAAAAAACAGAAGACATTAAATTAGATGAAGATTGCTATGAAGTAGAACAACCGCCATCGCCCAATTCAGCGGCTGTTCAAACTATAATTGAAGAACCTGTTCAAGATGAAACACCACTAAATCTTGTCAGCAAATAATGAGCATTGCTTTAATACGCAAGGTTCGTCATAATATTCCTCATTTTAATTTTTTTTTTTTTTTTTGTCCTTATTTGTATGTGAAATATAGCTTAAGATATAATTTGAATTAAGTATCAATTCTGTATTCTTGTTCTTGCACACATTATATTAACAATAGATTTTAATATTGTGCTAAATCAAATTCAGTTTTGATCTGCTTTTATTTTTCAATCCAAATACCAAACCATAATTCATAATTTCTATTAAATTAGTTAGCATTCATTTCTTTTCCATTCCATTTTATTTATGGAGCAAAACAAATTTAATTAATGACCAACAAATTAAAAAAAGGAAACTTATAATATGTAGATTACTGTATTAATGATCTGTTCAGTTTACTATTTTTTTTTCTAAGACAATGTGCTCATCATAAATACCTTTTTGTATTTTAAGTATGTATCTCTGACAAACCAACATAATGATAGTAGGAGCTCTCTAATCTTGAATTCCCGTATTTGTGGTTTCCTTGCTAAGTCTACATAAAATGTCTACCTCCATTATGATGCACTATAACCTCCCTAAAATTATTTTTTGAATGTAAATCTAACTTGAGTTGTATATACTATAATATTAATGTATACAAATTGAAAATTAATCTTACAAAATATATATTTATATATAATATATTATATGTATATTGTATATATCTTATATATTATTAATATTTTTACAGATTTTTTTCTATTAATTTTGTATGTATAAAAATTGGTGTAATATTGTAAATAAAAATAATTATTTAGGCCATTTTCATTCAAAGGGTAATCTCATGTAATAGTAATAGTAAAAAAAAAATAGAAATATATTCTGATTAAATTTAAATGAAAGTATTTAGATCTTTGAGCTTAAGTTTCTATCAATGCATTATTTGTTAAGCATTTACATTACATACTTTTTTCTATTTTTAGAATTTAATGGTGGTTATAGAGCATATATAGCTTTAATCTATAGTGGACATAAATTGATGTCCACTTGAAATTTTGCTTAAAAATATTTGTCTTCACTAATATGGTTTTGAAAACTATTATTGTAGAACTAATATAGTATAGTATGATGGATAAGTTACGAAATTAAAATTAATTATAGAAGTTAATAAGACAACCAACAGAAAACATCAGTTTTCTCTTAATACATAATGGCGACTGAATTTAAATAATGCATACTTTACATATTATAATTATGTATGTATGGTAGACACATGTATATACCTTTGTGATTAATGAAATATAACTTCTGTATTTCAATTAGTACTCACATTAATGATATTTAAAAAATTATATTTATGTCTATAAAAAAAAATAATTTTATAAAATGCAAAATTTAAAAATTGATGCATCCATTAATACAGAAAAGTAAACTTGCATTTTTATACTGCACTATATTAATGGAAAGAAAAGTTTCTTAAAAACTTGTTAAAGTATATAATGTTTATTTATTTTTACGTGCGCTTTTACTATTAACAAATTATAGCAATAATTTCCTTTCCGTTAGTTGTTGTATAAAGAATATTTTTTCAATTGGTATCGTGTTTAAATATATTTATTTCTTTGTTTTGTAAACATCTATCTGTACTTATATTGATTATCTTTTTTTTCAACATCTGTTTTAGATAACATTTATATTATGTAGGACTCTTGGTATCTTTATGTTATTTCCTGGTATTAAAATCATACACTATTATATATACATACTTAAGTAATCTTTAAATTATTATTTTTTTTTCACAATAATTTTATTACTTTAAACAAGTTAGTAATATGTTCATAATATAGCTTCTAATGACATTATAATTTTAGAGATATACCATTCAAAGAAAAATATTAAATGTAAAAATTAAGTAACAATAAACATTAAAAATATTATTTTATTAATTAAATGTATTTTTATTGTCATTGGATTAATATACCTTTACAGTGGCGTCGAACTATATTTTAAAAGGGGGGGGGGGGGGGGGCAAGTAAAAAGTTATACGAACCACCACCCCTGTTTACATATGTGCTGTATACGTGCCACGACCCCACCAAAAAAAAGGGGGGCAGTAGCCCCTATTGGGTTATAGGTTGGGCGCCACTGTACCTATAGTTTCCTAATAATTAAAATGTGTACATTATAATATAATTATAGTAGTTAGCCATAAACTTTTAACTAACATACCTATAATATACTTATATATACATTTTGTTTGAGGGCCCCTAATTTTATTTTTCATTTCTGAATTAAAATTATATTAATTAACTAATTTTAACTGGTTTATTAATTTCTGAACCATACTAATATACAATACTGACCTTGAAATTATAGTTAATGATTAAAGAAATTCATAAAAATGTATGAGTATAGCATAACAATATTTTCTTAGAATTAAGAATGTAAGAATTCTTACATCCTATAGGTCTTGTTTTGTAAAATCCTTTTGCATTATAACCTGAAAAAATGCATGCATTATTGTCACAATTAATTGTGATTATTGTGACTGGTTAAAATTGTTTTAATTGTGATTTTCAATACTCATCAAACCTAATAGTAATTGGTATTGAATACTATAGATATAATTATATTATAATTTACCTCTGTATTTCATAACAAACATACATAATTACAACCATTATATTATTATCATACAGTAAGTATCTAAAATTATTTATTTTTTAATGATTTATAACCCAAAAATCTATATAATTATGGTGGAGCTAACACAGTCAGAATCAGAATTTCATGGGACCCAGAAAGATTTTTTACAACAAGATTTATCAAAATTTAAATCAACACACTCATGCGAATTAATAGCTTTTATAGTTTCAAAAAAATGTGTCCGTAAAGAAGACCTAATCTATATATTTATAAAAAAAATAATAATAACAGTGACATGATGGTTAATTTATAGGTCTTCATTCAAATATGAAAAAAAAAAAAAAGTGTTTTTTGCAACCCTCAGCAATGTTCTAGAGCTAGAGCAGCGTTTCCCAAACTAGGGCCCGTGAATTAGTATTTATTATTGATCGGTTTGGTTATTTTTATTACGGGCTCCACAATAATTTTTACTATACTCCACTATGTAGAGAAGATAGTTTGGGAAACGTATACTAGAGCATATTATTGCATGATAACAGCCAAAAAAAACTTCATAATAGCAAGCTATTTTTTTTAGAGCCGCTGGCTATGCACTAAATTCGTAATAGCCTCCCCCCAAAATTGTGAAAACACGTAACATCGAAGGGATTAAAATACGTTGATCTTTCATTAGATAATGAGATTTTCAAGGTTAGAACAGTTCATTCGTTTTACCTATCGTGAGTTGACGCGGTATTTGCATTTGGCGATAGAAAAGTTATCAATTTTTAGGCCGGAGGGGGTTGGATTTGTAACGGGCCTCTGGAGAAATAAGTATAAGAATATATAAATGATACACAGCGTGCCCGTTACACCTTATCACTTTCTATCGTCAATAACACGGCCAGATCTTATGGCCGTTGCCAATACGCTAGTAATTTGCTATCATGATTTGTCCAAATTAAAAATATTGGGAATTTGCTAATTTTCACTCGGAAAAATGCCATAGTGTTTATCGTGTGTTAATGAAAATTAAATGCTATTTGCTACCTATACTCGAAATTAATTTTATAATTTTTTTAACAAAATGTAAATTCCCTCCTTTTCACTTGTTGCGTCGACGTAATAGATATTTCTTTCCATTTGTGTACATCTCATGGAAAAGCAAATATGGCGGTAACCAATAATAAAATTGAGATTTCGGGAAAAGTACCCCCCAATGGGCTAATCCCTGCGGCCCTGCATGACGCAACAATTTTGTCAAATCTCTTTTGAGGTTCTTCTACTTCTAAGTTTTCATATTAATGAGAGAGTGCTGAGTGAGTGATCATTTATCCTGGTATTAACAAATTTCATCAAATGGAGAAAATGCGCATTTTTGGCACAGCGGAACAGTCAAGTATGTAAATTCGTATACATTATAATATAATATTAATATTTACAACATAGGACTAGGAACATGGGCTAAAACCACGAGCTGTACAAATAGAAAACTTGAAAAAAAAATGAAATGGTATTTTTTAATTGTAATCGTATTATTCATATTGTCGTGTGCCTACTGATTTTTTTTTAATTTCAAAGGCCTACTTTAGTTTCAAAAGCCTGATTTCAACGATTCCTATATGCGTACCGTTAAAAGTTATTTCGTATGCAATGGCATGACGCGCGTAAATTAATTATAACCAATAGGTACAATTTAGTGTGGTGGTGTCAAAACCCTCCACTGGCTTTTTAATTTTTGGTCGTGGTTTTTCGACGACACGCCGGAAAACAAAACGGACAAGTAGGCAACTCTCTGCTGTAAGTACTGTAGAGCTACTGGCCGGTTTCATATAGCCGTATCATACGTCAGTTTTTTTATTTACATTATTTAAGTGACGCTGAGGCCATACGCGCCATCGTGCCGCCGTACGAACTTAATAAATAATATAAATCGAAAAACGCGCATACGATACATTGACAGGGACGCACGCTGTGAAACGGTCCTAAAAGTGTCAGGTGTATTACGTTTACGTCCTTCAGTAGGTCACGAAATATGTGTTAAATTTGAATTCAATGATAAATCATTATTCATTGCCTACGAAAAACTATTTTGAACGGGCACGATATGTCACCCTATATCGAGGGTACCTTATGTGAATTTATATAGGGGGGGGGGGGGCTAATGAGCCATAGCAGAGGTATTCTAACTTTTTCGTTTCCGTTGTGTGTTCACAATATTTTTACGGCTCCCAAATTATTATAAAAAATTAAAACAATAATGTCTTGAGACGGATAAAATATAGCCATACCTATGGGTGATGGGTAATAGCAGTGACTTTATGGTATAAGAAATACAACTTCAAAAAGTCGCGCGTAATGTGTTTCATTATCGTTTCCATAATCGCATTAATGATTGCAAATAATATTTA